TCAGTTCATCTGATCCAGAGAAAAGACTCTGTGCTCAGCTCATTTTGATTCAATCGAGCTCTCTGCTCTTCTGCCTACCCTTGAGCACTACAGGTTTAAATTTACCTTTCTGCCAAACGGGGTCTAAACGGCCCCTGGAGCACGTCCCAACCCACCCTGCACTCCATCCACTGTCCAAAACCGCCGATACTGCCAGCCTACTGCGACTATGCGAACCGAGTACCAGGTTCTTATCTCCTATCTTACATATCTCTGACTTCCCACTTCGTCTACCTTTGCAAGCCAACACTTGCCCACGCACCACGTTTCTGCAAACCGTCTGAAATTTCTGCCCAAGCATTGCCTTCCACACCCTTTGCGATACCAATCTGCCTGTATCTGTCTTCTGAGCCTCGACTTGATGAGAGACTTTGTTTCCACGTCCGCCATTCCCCTGTTATGAAAAACTGAGCGGTTCCGATGTTCCCAAATAACCGAGATGAATGACCGAGCGACAGACCTGAACCGCGTACCCTTGTCCTCTAGACAACTGCATCCCATCCGGTAGGAGCCGCAAGAGGACCCAGTCCTTGTCCCATTCCCATGACTGTTGAGAGAAACCWTTCCAATGCTCCGACCACCAGCTGCTCCAGATCCTTCTGGAGGCCGGGCAATCCCACTACAGGTGAGATGTAGACTCGAAGGGCCATGTGCAGCGTCTGGAGGCCAGGTTAATCTCCATCCCTTTGCTAGCTAGCCAGACGGCAGAAGGGGTGACTAGCCAAGACAGGGACCAAAGGATCACAGCATACTTCTGGGAGGGGAGCGCCTTCAATTGTTGCCATAACTGATGGACGTTAACAGCCATCTTAACTGCATCTGAGCCCACGAGTGCCTCCCATCTCTGGGTCACCACACCCACTGGGAAGCGCTTAGTCTCCTAGGGTAAGCGTAGAACCTCMCGCCCCTAAACCTCTCCAGCCCCACGCTCCCGGATCCAATTTCCGGGTGGTGATGGGCAAACTATTTCCGCTCAAAGTCACAAATTGAATGTGCTTTTCCTCCTTTTAGGCTTTTCCTATACCTCGGTGACCCTGACTTGCTGTAAACTGCAGCCTAGACCAGGGGCCAACAGATCTTCATTTAATACCAATGCTAAGGAGTGCAAGGTCAGGTTCCATGCTTGCTAATGTCTTGTGTGGCTGTGCCACCTTCATCATGGCCTGTGAGTTTCCAAACCACAGCATCTTCAGAAATGTACCAAGTGCCAGGGGGGTCGATTCCTTCTGGGCACAATAAGAGTTTCCAATGCTTCGGAATAGCTTGCACAATACGAGTTCTCTTTGTCCTCAATGTGGTCCATTGGCCTGTGATATCGTCCCAGAGGTCCTCAATGTGGTCTCTTGTCCTCGATGTGGAGATTTCCCAGTAGTGTGTGTAGGTCCTCACTGGTGCTCCATTGGCCTGTGATATCGTCCCAGAGGTCCTTGATACGCGGAACCCCCCTTTGAATCCAGCTGTCCCAGAACGATCATTCATCTCTATGCGCTCTGAGCCGTTGGCCGTTGGAATCCACGATCATCGGGTTACCAAACAGGGGTTGGTTAAGTACTTCCGCTCGAGCGCAAGGTTCCACGCATTGGTTTGGACGAACTTTCTTCCAGGCAGAAATGATATCGGCCCAGAACTGGGAGCGTAGTCTGCGATTTAAAAAGGAGTCTAATTGAATACAGCGCTAAACGTCCTCTCTGCATTTCAGCTTCCATTCTGAAGCTAAGATGTATTCTCCCATTACTACCCAATGATCCGACCCATCGTTGTTACCTGCTTTAGTCACCCACTTGGCTAAGAGAGAGGGCGCAGTTACGACCGTGAGGGTCTGCTACCTCTAGACCTCCCTCTTCTCTTGCACAACAGATCAACTCCTAYGCCACTTTGGATATGAACTTCTCATTCTTGTCCCCACTGGGCTTCCAAATGAATCCTGCTGCTTGTCTACAGATGAAGTTCATCAGTGAAGTTCTCAATAACCTTTMAGTTACCGTTCCTGCATACCAAAGGAGAGAGAACAAGGAGATATTTATTACCATAGCCCTTCCGAATAAAGAGAGATGGGGYGCAGGTCCCCAAGATGTGACCCTAGCTACAACCTTGTTTTGCAGGATTTCTTCCTGAGATCCCTGACAGTTGTCCATTGCAAACAGTACCCCCAAGAACCTTTTCGCCTCACCGTGGTCTATTCTTTTCATTCCCCAATCTTTAACGCCATTGATTGAGGTAGAAACTACACAGACTTCTTCCAGTTAACGGCCGCTTCGGAGAAGAGTGAGTATTCATCAAGCAGTTCCTTGAGTGCATTCAGTGCAGTCTCAGAGTTCTCGCAGATAGCAAACAGGGCGTCAGCGAGAGCCTTAACTTTGCAGTGGGACTGGGAGACCATTAAGCCCACAATTTCAGGTCTACAACGGATATTACAGAGAATCGCCTCGAGTTGCAGCACAAACACTAGTGGTGCCAGGGGGCAACCTTGCCTGAGTGATCGGGTGATGTGAAAGGAATTAAAGAGGAATCCATTTACCATGACAACAACTGTCGAGTGTGTATAGAGCACAGTGACCCAGCGGCAAAAAGAATCGTCGAACCCCATCTTACACAAGGTTGTAAGAAAGAATGCCCAGTTAACCCTATCATATGCTTTCTTCAGATCAAGGAAAAGCACAGATAGGGGTCTATCCTCTTTTTCAATAATTTCCAAAGCCTCAATTGCCGTAGCAATGTTGTCGAAGATAGATCAGCCACAGACGAACGCACCTTGATCCCTTGCTACAAGATCAGCCTGATCAGGTAAGTATCCCTTGCTACAAGATCAGCCTGATCAGGTAAGTACCGACTCAGCCTTCTTGCCAATGTCTTAGCCAACAATTTATAGGACACATTCAATCTTGATATTGGATGTCAAACCGCTAGTACACGGCCCCAGCCTTGCTGAAAACAAAAAGGGCGCCTACGAGATGCCATCTGAAAAAGATGGTGCAGGCGCTCCATGGATAAAATAATCGGTGATCTGCGTCATTTTTCGGATTCTGACAGGAGCCAGCAGACGATAGCTGGATGTACTTGTGCTTTAACACTGGCCCAGGGTCACAATAACGTGACGAGAACAGACCTCGAGCAAAAAGGCTTACTGTCTCCCATGTGCGCCTACTGTGGCAGGTCCTCGCAGCCGGCCAGGGCAACCCTGGAACATTGCCTGCTGGCTTGCCCAATGGTTGCTCAGATATGGAGGTKGTGGGACGCGGCGTTTCACCACCTGGCCGGCTTCCACATCCCCTGGGACACTGGCCTTCTCCTGCTGAACAGAAACCAACACCTGATGAAATTATGGACCCCCTTCGSCACTAACCTCTTTGCCTACATGAGGCTGCAGGTGCTGATGCTGGCCTGGAGAGCTAGGTGCTCCTTTGAGAGAAAGGACCACCAGTTCGGGCTACAACAGGCACAACAGGAGATAGAAGAAGTAATTAGAGCCCGGACCCACGAAGCCTGGAAGGAAATGCAACGACACTACCT